GAACACGCTCAGAGCATGAGGCAGTCATTCTGTGTCCGTCCTAAAGAACAACAATGTCACATTGGTCCCCATAAGTGTTCCATCCACATGGGACGGCGTGCTCCGGTGTCTGGCCGTGACTGCCTTCTCTGATTGGCTGCGTTCTTAGTCCGTCCTGAGAACGAGGTACTTGTAGACAGAAGAAGCAGTTTGTTGGCTGGGGGACGTGAATGCTTCTCGGGCACTATGACGCCATTTTGTGTCCTCGGAATTCCACAGTTGCATCTTTGTGTTTTCCCCCGTTTGGATGATGGTTTATAGACAGGGGAGAGACCAGGGAGAGACCAGGTGATGATGACCTGGAGTGATGAGACCAGGGGCAGAGACCAGGGGAGAGATCAGGGGAGGGAGACCAGGGGGAGAGATCCGGTTCGTGAACTTTGTTGGTTTTTAGGACGGACACAGAATGGACTCCTCTGCTCGGCGTGTTCATGGTTCTTGTTCATGGTTCTGTTCATGGTTCTGTTCATGGTTCTGTTCACCTGTCTGTCTGTCTGTATTCTTTTATTTTTTACACCTGTATCCGTATCTTACATGTACATATGTTATTTTTATTTGTCGTTTGATGGTTCAGAAGTTTACTTCAAATTGTCACACAAAAAATGCTGGTGCGGAGTCGCACGCGGAAAAGTCATGAGGTCATATGTTCATAACCCTTTAGCATAGGCAAGGTTTTTGATATAGCAACAGTCCACACACTGGCACTCACGAGACAAGGCTTTAAATCAGAAAGTCAGGATTAAATCTGTTTTGTAACCTCGGATTTGATATTGCCCGTCTACGTTTTCTGGAAGACTGTTTTTAGCCTGCATAAATCTGAAACACTGCCTCCCCATGTTTAGTCCTGACTCTGGGACCAGCTGGAGCCCAGTCCCAGTGCTCTCAGAGTCCCAGCAGGAGGCAGTCCCTGTGCTCCTCAGAGTCCCAGCAGGAGGCCAGTCCTGTGCTCCTCAGAGTCCCAGCCAGGAGGCCCAGCCCCTGTGCTCCTCTAGTTTTCCCCGCAGGAGCCAGTCCCTGTGCTCCTCAGAGCCAGCAGGAGACCTGTCCCTGTGCTCCTCAGTCCCAGCAGGAGACCAGTCCCTGTGCTACCTCCAGTCCCAGCAGGAGGCCAGTCCTGTGTCCTCAGAGTCCAGCAGGAGGCCAGTCCCTGTGCTCCTCAGTCCAGCAGGAGGCCAGTCCTGTGTCCTCAGAGTCCCAGCAGGAGCCATCCTGTTGCTACCTCAGAGTCTTAGCAGGAGGCCAGTCCCTGTGCTCCTCAGAGTCCCCGCAGGAGACCCAGTCTGTTGATCTCAGTACCAGCAGGAGACGGTCCCTGTGCTCCTCAGTCCCAGCAGGTGAGGGCCAGTCCCTGTGCTCAGCAGAGTCCAGCAGGAGGCAGTCTGTGCTCCTCAGTCTTAGCAGGAGGCCAGTCCCTGTGCTCCTCAGAGTCCCAGCAGGAGCTCGTCCCTGTGCTCCTCAGAGTTCTTAGCAGGAGGCCAGTCCCTTGCTCTCTCAGAGTCTTAGCAGGAGGCCAGTCCCTGTGCTCCTCAGTCAGCAGGGAGGGCCAGTCCTGTGTCCTCAGTCTTAGCAGCCGAGGCCAGTCCACTGTGCCTCCTCAGAGTCCCAGCAGGAGGCCAGTCTCCCTGTGCCCTCAGAGTCCAGCAGGAGGCCAGTCCCTGTGCTCCTCAGGTCACAGCAGGGAGGCCAGTTCCCTGTGCTCCTCAGAGTTCCACGTGGTTCTTGTAGCCATTAACATTTGGTGCGAGACTTTAAGAGTGTGGTCTTCTATTTTCAAAGCTCAAGTAAAAATCTAAGATTATTTTGTCTGAGCCCAAAGGGTCAAATAGTGGGACTCACAGGGACTGTTGGATCACGTCAGCACAATGACTGGGGAGATGACGTCGGATTCTATCCACAATAAAACACAATTTCTCACACACTTTTTCTATCGCGTACAAAAACAAAATTTTCAGTCTCGAAACAAAACTTTTAGGTTCAGCAGCTTAAGTTTCTAATAAATAATGTGTAACTGTTTTTCTCACAACCATTCTATTCTGTGTTTAGCTCTTCAAAGGACTTACAAAGTGGTCGATTCGTCGACACGATCAGAAATCAAAAAGGACACAGTGGTCTTTCTCTATGGTCTCTCTCTGGTCTCTCTTGAGTCTCTTTTAGGTCTCCTCTCTGGTCTATCTCTGGTCTCCTCTCTGGTCCTCCTCTCTATGGTCTCTCTCTGGTCTCTCTCTCTGCGTCTTCTCTCTCTGGTCTCATCTCTGGTCTCTCTCTGGTCTCGTCTATGGTCTCTCTCCCTGGTCTCTCTCTCTGCGTTCTCTCTCTCTGGTGTCTCTCTGGTGGTCTCTCTGGTCTCTTCCTCTGGTCTTCTGGCTCTCTCTGGTCTCTTCCCCACACCCTGGTCTCTCTGGGCTCTCTCTCTGATTGTCTCTCTGGTTGTCTCTCTGGCTCTCTCTCTGGCCTCTCTCTGGTCTCTCTCTGGTCTCTCTGGCCTCTCTCTCTGGTCTCTCTCTGGGTCTCTCTTCTGGTCTCTCTCTGGTCTCTCTCTGGCCTCTATTCTCTGGCCATCTCTCTGGAGTCTCTCTCTGGTATCTCTTGGTCTCTCTCTTGGTCTCACTCTCTGGTCTCTCTCTGGTCTCTCTCTGGTCTCTCTCTGGCCTCTCTCACTGGCCTCCCTATGCCTTCTTGGCCTCTCTTAGGTCTCTCTCTGGTCTCTTCTGGTCTCTCTATGGTCTCTCTCTCTGGTTTCTCTCTGGTCTCTCTGGTCTCTCTTGGTCTAACAGTGAAAAATAGTAATTCTCACTAAACCAAACATCTTAACATAAAAAACATCCTATATCAGATATAGTTTCAAATGAGTTCAGTTCGAATCTCATTACATTTCAGTTATTTATTTTGTATAAATTGTATGAAATAAACTTTTAGCACAGGTACAAAGCACTGAGCCGTGTTAAACTTTTACTTTCACTTTCAAAGGCTCATAATCTCCTTTGCCCGCGTGGCCCGGTCAAACCTTGGCAATTGCTGTATATTTTTATATTTAAAAAATTTTGCTGTTTTTTGCCGACTGAATGAAGGATCTCACCGTTTCCATGATTACCACTTTGAATATACGTTCATTTTAAACCAGTCTCCTCCTCCCCTCCTTACGATGCAGATTAAAGGGAAATGTCTGGGAGTTTTTGATATATATTTTTCTCCCATTTTCTGGATGAAAACCAGGAAAGCCTTGTGTCTCATGTTGGGGTTTGTGTGCCAGGATCCTGGTTGCTGTTTCTTCTTCTTGGATTGATGTTTTCTTTCTAACGATTCATTATTGGTCGGTTCTTGTACGGCTGCGCTGTACGAATGTGTCAAAGCGTTACCCGGCCTGGATAGTATCCCATATAATCGTTGGCTCTATTTCAGGATCATTGTTATAATTAATGCATTCTTGTATTTCGTTTCTAATTTCCTGTACAACTTTTTCATTGTTAAGAAGGCCAATGTTCATTCTCCATAATGTTTTCCTTTTTTCATTTTGCAAGTGTATAGTCAAATTTATGGCATTATGATCTGACAAATCTGCTATTCCAATATTACAGTCTATAACTCGATGTCTGTCCATGCTGTTCATCAGAAAAAAGTCAATTCGTGAATGAACTTTGTGGGCTGCTGAGAAATGAGTTTAATCTCTTTCCAGAGGGTGCAGGTCTCTCCAGACATCACAAAGGTCCAACTCCTTGATAAGTGAGTTTAGGGCTTTTGATTTATTGTTTTTGGATCTTTTATTACTTGTTGAGTCTTTTATGTGATCTACGACAGTGTTCCAGTCACCGCCACAGATTAGTATCCCCTCATTCAGGCTGGAGATCCTGTCAAATATTAGTTGGTAAAATGTTTTATCAATTTCTGGAATACACATTTATTAAATTAACCAGTGTATTGTCAATTCTCCCCTTCACAGCAACATATCTACCTTCATTGTCACAGTCCTCCTCCAGTATCTCATAATTAACTGCATCTGAAATTAAAGTTATCACTCCTCTTCTCCTGCTATTTTTATGTGAACTGTAGAAAGAATTACTGTAACCAAACTTTTTGAATTTTTCATGCTCTTCTCTACACATATGAGTTTCCTGAATGAATATGACTTGTGCTTTATCCTTCTTTAACTTTGTTAATAATCTACTTCTTTTTATGGGGTTACCCAGACCATTTATATTTATTGACACAACTTTCAGCTTAGTTCCACCACTCATATTGTGCAGTATTCAAAACTGTAGACCCCACAGACGAACAAGAACAACAAACAGGAAGAAAAATAAAAAACAATCATAACTGTGGTATACGAACGATACCTGTGACTCCCACTTGGTGGGGAAAGAGTCCTTTCCTCCTCGACCCCGTTGGCAGGTCTAGGGTCAATGCCTCCTCGCTGGAGGGGCCCTAAAAAAGGTATGGAAGCTGGTTCTTCCATCCTGATTGTCCAACGTCTGGTCTTCAGGTGCTGCTCCTCTTTCTTGTATTAAATTGGCCATATTTCTGCAGAAATCAATACAGAAAAGTGAGAAGCCTATAATCGTTCGTCCTCGCCTCTTTGGAACTCTCTGTCTTTCTTTAGCCCGCTGCCCAGTGGAAGTTAGCATTTCTCTCCGTGGGCGTGCACCCCGTTGCCACTCCACGCACTTCTGAATCCTGGCCGCCGTGTCCCCCTCGCTGGTTGCTGGCACCTGCACGTCGTATCCCCGTCTCTGCAGCTCGCATCCCGCGTCATGCGCGCTTCTGTAAACTGCAACTCCATCCTGCCAGTGAACTCGTATGCTTGTGTATGGCGTTTGGAAGCGCACGCCTCTCTCCTTCAGTGCCTTCTTAATCACTTGATATTCCTTGCGCCTTTGGACAATCTCTGTAGCATAGTCGTGGTCAAAGTATACAACATTGCCGTTCAGCTGGATCCGCCCCTTTCTCCAAGCCTCTCTCAGGATTAATTATTTCGTGGTGAACTCCTGAAAGTTAACCGCGATCGGTCTTGGCGGGGCACCGGAGCGGGGTTTCTGTGCGGGGACGCGGTGAGCCCGTTGTATCTTTAGCTCTATGCCCGTCAGAGGTAACTCGCGCTGGAGAAAGTCCGCCATGAATTGCATTACGGATGTGTTCTCCTCTCCTTCTCCCACTCCAAAAAGACGAATATTGTTTCTACGGGACCTGGATTCGAGGTCGGTAACCTTGGATTGCAGGTTTCTTTCAGAGAGCGCCTCTGTCAGCACCAGTGTCACGTCCTTCACCTCGGACACTCGAGTTTCTGCAGTCCCCATTCGCTCTTTCAAGTCTTGTATGTCCTCAGTCATCGTATCCAGTTTGTTGCTCAGTTCCAGTTGCATTGTATTTATATTACTTCTCAGCTTTTCGTTGTCTTCTTTCAATTCGGATTTGAGTGACTCGATAGCCCGGAGCAGATCGCTCGTAGTGACTCCAGGCCCAGTTGCACTCGCGTTAGCTTGATCTGCTACAGGGTTAGCATCTCCCGATGGAGCGCTCTTTTCTTGCTTTCTATTCGGCATTCTGTAACTTCTTGGCCTCTACACGTTCCTTTCCCACCTATCAGTTATCTTTAACCAAACAGAGTCGCATATTTTCAGATCGTCTCAGATCGCCATGACACCGGAAGTCCCCTTAGAAGTGTTTTTTATTCTTTATTTTTATTATCTCTTTCTGACTGTTGCACTGAGCCAAAGCAATTTCCAAGTCTGTGACTTCCTGTTACTTACGTGGCAATAAAAATGAATCTGATTCCGATTCTGATTCTGATAAACAACAGCACACAAGCACGCACATGAGTGGGAGGGCGGTAGTGGGGGGCGAAAGCTTCGTGAGTGCGGGGAGGGGAGCAGAAAGAGCAAGGGCAGAGCTTACATTTGAAACTGCTGCTTCAAAGTCACAGAGTGAGTTAGTCCAGCTTTAAGTTGGGAAAAGTCATCAAAATTCAGCTAAAAAAACCATTGTTTTGGATATTTTTGAAATACTGTGGCGGGCCAATTAACCCCTAGGATAACACAAGTTAAAATGAGATACAGCTGGACTTGAGCCTCGTTCCAAAGTACTACTTGGCCTTGTGCTACTTGGCCCAGCACTACTTGGCCCAGCACAACTCTACCTTGTCCGATCCTAGGGCTAGCCTTTCTGTGTGCTTGAACACCCACCCCCGCAAAATGCTGGACCGGTGTATGCACAGTGAGCAGTCAAACCTTGTAGACCTCTTTGACAAGCTGTGCGGACGTGGCTCCCTCTTCCGAGGCTCTCACGGCCTCCAGGATCTGCTGCTCTCGCTGGCTTCTGTGAGCAATGTACTGCTGGAGCTTAGATTGTGGATCCTGGACCACCGGACCGTGCCCTGGGCACACGGAACAGAGTAGTGTCATTCCTGATTGGCTCTTGGTTGGTAGCTAAATTGTAGCTATCCACAAATTTGCCTCTAGATTCCAGCTCAAGGAGCCTGTTTGAGTTAGCTCTAAACCTTGTGGAGCGTGCTTAAGTAACAGATAACTCAAACCCCCAGTGGCTAAATCAAAAACACAGAGGCTCTTACTCCCACTGGGTTTTGGAGTTGTTCCTTGCTGATGCAGGAGGGTTTAAAGACAGTGATGATCCAGGACATTTTAGGTCATTTATTAGCATTTATGGATAATAATGGGTCAATAGCTCCTATATTTCAACAGTTTCATTCTCTGATCTGTTGAGGAATCATCAACTTTGTAAAGTTAGGGCTATTCAAAAATAAATTTTATTTAATTCAGACCTGGGTAGATAAGAGAAGCGCCCTGCTGCAGTAGAACCTTCAGGCTCCTCATGTAGTCATGCAGATCTTCAAACACAGCGGTTCCTTCACCCAGGATACAGTCTCCAGAGAACAGCACCGCCTCCTCCTCCAAGAGCAATGACATGTGGTCGTCAGTGTGGCCAGGAGTGAACACAACCCTGGAACACGCATACACACGCGATAAGAAGTTTTATTCATCCTACAGTGGGGAAATTTCTATGCTGAAGCGCACACACAGGACAGAAGTAAGAACACACAAAATATACAGAGATAAATTATACATATACATATATTATATATATATATATACAGTGGGGCAAAAAAGTATTTAGTCAGCCACCGATTGTGCAAGTTCTCCCACTTAAAATAAAGACAGAGGTCTGTAATTTTCATCATAGGTACACTTCAACTGGGAGACAGAATGTGAAAAAAAAATCCAGGAATTCACATTGTAGAATTTTTAAAGAATGTATTCGTAAATTATGGTGGAAAATAAGTATTTGGTCACTTCAAACAAGGAAGATCTCTGGCTCTCACAGACCTGTAACTTCTTTAAGAAGCTCTTTTGTCCTCCACTCGTTACCTGTATTAATGGCACTTGTTTGAACTCGTTATCTGTATCAAAGACACCTGTTCACAGCCTCAAACAGTCAGACTCCAAACTCCACTATCCTGGAGTGGCCTAGCCAGTCTCCAGACCTCAACCCCATTGAAAATCTGTGGAGGGAGTTGAAAGTCCGTGTTCACTGCTCTCACGAAGATCTGCATGGAGGAATTGACCAAAATGCCAGCTACTGTGTGTGCAATCCTGGTAAAGACCTATAGTAATTGTTTGACCTCTGTTATTGCCAACAAAGGTTATATTACAAAGTATTGAGTTGAATTTCTTTTATTGACCAAATACTTATTTTCCACCATAATTTACAAATACATTCTTTAAAAATCCTACAATGTGAATTCCTGGATTTTTTTTCATATTCTGTCTCTCACAGTTGAAGTGTACCTATGATGAAAATTACAGACCTCTGTCATTATTTTAAGTGGGAGAACTTGCACAATTGGTGGCTGACTAAATACTTTTTTGCCCCACTGTATTTGTATATTATAACGTAAATTATATACATATATGGCAGGACAAATAAAGTAGATAAAGTGACATTCAGGAGACTCTGCCTAGGAGGGTATTTGACTAGTGACTGGCCTAGGAGGATAATGGACAAGTAATTAGTGATGTCACCATTGCATGTAAACCACAGGTATAACTTGTTTTTTGCTAAAACATTTGTAGTGTTTGTCCTGGTCCCTTTGTAGAAAAATAGCCCCAAAGCATGATGTTTCCACCACCATGCTTCACAGTAGGTATAGTGTTCTTTGGGTGCAACACGGCATTCTTTCTCCTCCACAAGTTGAGTTTTTACCAAAAAGTTCTTTTTTGGTTTCATCTGACCATATGACATTCTCCCACTCTTCTTCTGGAACATCCAAATGCTCTCAAGCAAACTTCAGACGGGCCTGGACATGTACTGACTTAAGCGGGGGGACACGTCTGGCACTGGAAGATTTTAGTGGTGTGTTAAGATAAGATAACATAGACTTTATTGATCTCAGACCGGAGAAATTTACATGTCACATTTGGCATGGATAGAATCACTCAGATTGTGCTACATGTTAAGGTAAAAAATATAGTCTGTGCAGGATATAATTATGTACAATAAAGAAGTGGAAATAAAAGAAAGACTGGCAATAGCAGTGCAGGTTTTTTCTTTTCAGTCCAAGTGCATTAGTGACTTATTGTACAGTCTGACAGCAGTGGGGATAAAGGCCCTGTGGTAGCGCTCCTTCTTGCACTGTGGGTGTCTCAGCCTTCCACTGAAGAAGCTCCTCAGCTCCTCTACAGTCGTGTGCCCTCCTGACCAGCTTGTTCAGTCTACTCCTGTCCGGCTCTGTGCTGCCCGGGGCCCAGAACACGGCAGTGTAGTGTAGTGTATGGCAGACGCTAACACAGAGTCATAAAAGGTCCTGAGAAGAGGCCTTGCTCACTCCGAAGGACCTCAGCCTCCTCAGAAGGTGGAGATGACTTTGGCCCTTCTTGTACAGGGCGTTGGTGTTATGGGACCAGTCCAGTTTGTTGTCAATGTGAACACCCAGGTACTTGAAGTTGTCCACCAGCTCAATGTCCTCCCCTTGGATGTTCAGTGGAATATGGGGAAGTGGATTTCTCCTGAAGTCAATTACCATCTCCTTGGTCTTACTGGTGTTCAAGCACAAGTGGTTAAACTTACACCCGTCAACAAAGTCCATGATAACAGACCGGTATTCCAGTTTGTTCCCCTCAGACACACAGCTTACTGATGGTAGCCTTTGTTACTTTGAACCCAGCTCTCTGCATGCCAGTCACTAATCCCTCAGTATGGTTTCTAGGATTTTCGCTCACCGTTCTTGTGATAATATTCCCCAAGTGGAGAGATCTTTCATGGAGACCCAGATCGAGGGAGATTATCAGTGGTCTTGTGTGTCTTCTAATTTCTAATAATTGCTCCCACAGTTGATTTCTTCACACCAAGCTACTTACCTATTGCAGATTCAGTCTTACCAGCCTGGTACAAGTCTACAATTTTGTTTCTGGTGTCCTTTGACAGCTCTTTGGTCTTGGCCATAGTGGAGTTTGAAGTGTGACTTTTTGAGGTTGTGGACAGGTGGTTTTCATACTGATAATGAGTTCACACAAGAGCCATTAATACAAGAAGGAGTTACAAGTCTGAAAGAGCCAGAAATCTTGCTTGTTTGTAGGTGACCAAATACATATTTGCAAATATTTCTATAAAAAGCTAGATTTTCTTTCTCATTCTGTCTCTCATAGTTGAGGTATACATATTATGAAAATGACAGGCTTCCTCACATTTTTAAGTGGTAGAACTTGCACAATTTGTGGCTGACTAAATATTTTTGGCCCACTGTCTATAACTTGGTCCAAACATTGGAGGGCTCGAGAGAAACAAAATCCAGAGAGCTGAAAATTATCATTGGTGCCCTCTGCTGGCTGTATGCTCTAATCTCACTTTGTTCCATTCATAGCACAAAATTACATAAAAAGTTAAATAAAGCCAAAAAAACAGTAACACGTGCATGAACAACGCCACAAAGGACCCACATACACCATAATAAATGCAAATACTAGAACGTGCCTTAAAGTAGCCCCTTCCGTTCGGACCAGGTCGCCATCTTTCAAATAAGTGTACTTTGTGTTTCTGGGGGATTCCTCAGAGCCGTTGGCACGAGGGAGTTTGCTCACCTTCACTCTAGGACCTGGAAAATCAAGAACAACTTAAATTAAATAAAAATGCTTCGTCCTAAATGCTTCAGTGATTCACCATCATAAGAGGTGCTTTGCTTCCGTTACGAGTTTTCAGCTGAGTGAGGGTGGGCCAAGCCCCGGCAATCCAAGATGGCGCCTTATTCAAATAAATGGTTTGTGCTCAGTGGCGCATTTGCAGCCATGTGTGCCGAAAGATTAGTGGAACTGGCCTATATTTGGGCATCGTGTCACATTCTGTGCCTCTGCTGCCTGCCCCTCCCTTCCCTCTATGTGAGGGAAGGGGCGGGCCCATGCATTGCACACCTGGAGGCAATCACCTCTCTTCAAGTACCCAGCTCTATAGCCTGTTGGTGCCAGATTGTTTCGTCTCATCTACTGGTGAAAGTCCTACATTTGGCTAGTTTTCTCGAGCTACTTTTTGATCCCTGTACTTACCTGTTTTTGTTGTTTTTTGGCAGTTCCTGTGTTCCTGTTTTTTGACCTCCTTGCCGCCGGAGGGGGAGTGCTGGAGGGTCCGGACCCTCCAGCACTCCCCCTCCTTAAATACATTTTAATTTTAATTTTTCACACTTGAGTCGCCTTTTTGGGTCCCATATTGTGCCGTTACACATCCTCTGGTCCTCCCGGTTCTGCACAGTGGACCAGCTCCACATGATGCGTTGCGCCAAATACGCATGTGTGGCTCTCGTGCACATGCACAGAGGGGCTCGGCCACGCTCTGACCAATCAGCACTGCTAATCAGAGCGGAGCTACAGCGGGAGTTAGAGCGGGAGCCAAACGAGCAGAGTTTGTGGCACTAAAGTGTGGATTTAAAGAAAACCGAAGGATTTAAGAAGAAAAAAGTTCAGGAGGACAAGGGACAATAAAATCCCTAAACGCTAAGAGTACCCTATCCAGTTATTTTAAAAGATCCATGGGGTGGGCCCTAAATCAGCCTATCAGCTCTCAGCCCAAAGTGTCCAATAGTGACTCACAGGGCTATTGCACAAAAGATAATATGTTTTCAAATGAGACTTCTAAGATATACTGTGGTTATACACACTATGGTTATACAGACCAGTGATGTCCCGGATGACGTCCTCCACTCCCCCGCTGTGGTCCAGGTGCCAGTGTGTGATGAGGATCTCCTGAATGCTGCTGTTGAACTGAGCCAGAGCCTGACTCAGGTTTGAGATGTAGTCGGGGACCGCCGGCTCACTAGTGTCTATGAGCACCCGCCTGTGGGGCAACAAAACTTGTCTATGACACCTGCCTATGGGCAAAATAATTTTCTTAACCTCCATAAAATTAAGTTGTTAAACCAGAACAATGGAAATCAGTGTTTATTCAAAATCTCTAGTGTCCATGTGGTGTCCAGAACAGACCTGCAGCCCGTCCCCACCAGGTAGGTGTTGGTCCCTTGCAGAGTCATGTGCCCCGGGTTACAGCCCAGCACCCGGATTACTCTGGAGGAGAGCTGCTCGATGAGGGGGATCACTGCAGACATCCTGGGACCGGAGACTGGACCAGAACTGAAAGGCTGAAAGGCAGAAGTCTGGAGGAGAGGGACTTAAGAAATGGAGCCTGGAGCAGAGGGATCGGAACCTGGAGCAGAGGAACTAATGAATGAGAGCCTCGACCAGAGGACTGGGGACTGGTCCAGGGGGACTGAGAAGGGAGGAACAGGTTAATTCATGACCTAGAACAGTTTCAGTGTTTGAGACTTGAGACTAGGTTACTGTATGCCTGCGATTTGGGAAAGTAATATTTTTATTCCTATATGAAACTTTATCTGCACCATTATCGACCAATATAGACTGTAGTGACTGTGTAAAGACTACGGCTTTTTGTGTAAAGTTCTTGCCAATAATGCAGCTCTGCAGCATCTCTTTGTCCAGAGACCTTCAAGAGACTTTATATAACAGCAGTATGTGTTCACGGAGGTGCGTCATAAGTTTATTTTATTATTAATCGGTACTTTCGCATCGGCGAACACGCTAGCTAGCTAGTTGGCTAACTGCTAGTTAGCTAACTGTGCTAGTTTAGTCACTACTAGAGCCTGAATGAGAACAACTACTGTGCCCCCCGATGTCAATCCTGGTTAAGTCCTGGTTTAGTGCTGGTTTAGGTCCCGTTTTGGCTGTATTCTGTATTTTTGAGTTATTTCAGTCTGATCGCGTCACACAAAGTCTGCTCGCAAAGTGGTCACGCGTGACGCGAGCAGACTTAAATAACTCAAAAATACAAAATACAGCCAAACCAGGACCTAAACCAGGACTTAACCAGGATTGACAACGGGGGACACAGTAGTTGTTCTCATCCAGGCTCTTGTAGTGACTAAACTAGCGCAGTTAGCAGTTAGCTAACTAGCTAGCTAGCGTGTTCGCCGATGCAAAAGTACCGTTTAATAATAAAATAAACTTATGACGCACCTCCGTGAACACATACTGCTGTTATATAAAGTCTTTGGAAGGTCTCAGGACAAAGAGACGGTGCAGAGCTGCATTATTGGCAAGAACTTTACACAAAAAGCCGCTAGCATGATGCTAACTAGCGGCTTTTTACTTCCGCCACTTCCAGCGGTGGTCTTTAAAAATAAAAGTGTATTTCTCTTTGAAAAGGTGTACCTGCGTCATTATCATTGTATAAGATTAGATTCAACTTTATTGTCATTACAAAGTCAGAACGATGCAACGAAATGCAGTTTAGCGTCTAACCAGTAGTGCAATAGCGCAAGTATAGGAAATATTTACAACACGGATAAATATATTTGCATACATGAGACTGTACAAGCTACTATTGCTTTAAATATGAATTATATTACATTAGATTAAAGTGCATTTAGTGGGCTTTAATTGGTTGAGTGTTCAGGAGTGTGACTGCTCTGTGATAAAACTGTCTCTGATGGGGCTTTCAGACCGCCAACGCTGAAACGCGGAAGCCCCGCTCACCAGACGTGCATTCTCTAGTTTTCAGACGCAGAGGACTTCACACCAGAACGTCCTAACGCGAGCCGGAAGTACCGGAAGTTGCCGGCCGGCTCTGATGCTAACAGAGCTATGCTAGCGGCTTCTTGTGTACAGATCTTCTCCAATATGCAGCTTTGCAGCGTGTCTTTGCTCACAGACATTCGACGGGCTTTATACAACAGTAGTATGTGTTCACGGAGGTGCGCCATACGTTTTTTCATATTATTAAACGGAATTTCCGCATCGGCGAACACACTCGAAGCCGTTGCATAAGGTCACGGGAGCATGACAACGCATATATTCACAAGCACAGAGTCCCCCATTGTCAACCCTGGTTTGAGTTCTGGTGAAGTCTGGTGTGGGTCCTGTTTTGGCTGTTTACGAGTATTTTCAGTCTGCTCGCTCAGTCCGCTAATGTCCCCGTGACCACTTTGCTGCTCTCTGATTGGTTGTCGCACGAACGTCCCAAGGAAAGGATGAGCTGAATCCATCTCCTGTGGGCGTAAATTTTTTGCTCCTGCTCCTCCCTTTTCACTTTCCCGCTAAGTTCGTGCGTCATTATTGAACAGTCCGTTCGTGCGTGCCGAGAGGTCCGTGCGTTGTGACGGTTGAACGCACGCCACCATAGACTTTGCATTGAAACCCGACGCAACGCATGATCCGGTCTGAAAGCACCATTAGCCTACTGGTCCTGGCCCGGAGACTCCTGTAACGGCGGCCAGAGGGCAGAAGGCTAAAGAGTCTGTGTGCAGGGTGAGAGGAGTCCTTCACAATCTTACGAGCCCGCCGCAGAGTGCGCTGGCTCTGGATGTTCTCGAGGGCAGAGAGTGGAGCCCCAATGATGCGCCGGGCTGTCTTTACCACCCGCTGTAGAGATTCCCGCTCTGCCACTGTACAGTTCCCATACCAGGTCATAATGCAGTTTGTTAAAATGCTTTCAATGGCCGAGCGATAGAAATGCAGCATTACGGACGGGGACATGTGATTCTTCTTGAGAGTTCTCAAGAAGAAAAGGCGCTGGTGGGCCTTCTTGAAGAGGCTGGAGGTGTTGATGGTTCAGGACAAGTCAGATTCAGATTCAGTTTATTTGCCATTTGCAGTAAAAACACCACATAGGAATACATTAGCAAAAGTCTCCAGTGTGCACAGACAAATACAGACATAAAACAACATTAAAAATGACAGAAATAAAACAAATAAAACAGTAAACAAATGTCACTGTGAAATCGATCAACTAAAACAGTTTCAAAACAAGTACAAATCATTAAAGTGCTCTGTTCACACTGATAACAGCTTGTGGATAAAAACTGTTAGTGTAACGAGATGTCCTGCATCTCAGAGAGCGATATCTTCTGCCAGAGGGAAGAAGCTGGAACATGGCTTTTCCAGGGTGGCGAGAAGAGTCATTACCAATCCTAAGAGCTTTGTTTAAAAGTCTGGATTGATAAAGAACCTCCAGAAAAAGGAAGCTCACAGCCCACGGTCCTCTTTGCAGAGCGGAGCACCTTGTTTAAAGCTCTCTTTTCTTTATCTGTGATGTTTCCAAACCACACAAACACAGAACCAACAAGTAAACTCTCAATGGTGCAGCAATAAAAGTTAAGCAGAATCTTAGAGTTAGTGGTAAATTCTCTAAGTTTACGCAGAAAGTAGAGCCGCTGACGAGCTTTCTTAACGACTCGGTCAGTGTTTTTAACCCATTTCAGGTCGTTAGACAGAGTTAAACCCAGAAACTTGCACTCCTCTACGATCTGCACCTGGGAGTTGTCGATTACGACAGGCAAATGAGAACTATTGCGACTGAAGTCGTAGACCAGTTCACATGTTTTCGATGCGTTCAACTGGAGGTTGTTAGTTTTACTCCACTGAACCACATTTTGTATCTCTGCTCTATAAGAGGATTCATCATTGTCACTGATGAGACCGATGATGGTGGTATCATCAGCATATTTAATGATCAAGTTTGAGTCAGCGGAGGACACACAATCGTGAGTGTACAAAGTAAAAAGCAAAGGACTCAAAATACATCCCTGAGGAGAACCAGTGCTCACAGAAACAACATCAGAAAAACAGTCATTGATTTTCACTCTCTGAGATCTGTCAGTTAAAAAGCTGAAAATCCATTTACACATGGCAACACTTAAACCGAGAGACATGAGCTTTTCAATCAGTTTACCTGGGACAAGGCAGTTAAAAGCAGAGCTATAATCGATGAAAAGCATTCTCGCGACAGATTTACTAGTGTCCAAGTGACTGTAGACAGAGTTCAGAGCAAAGGAAATGGCATCCTCCACACTCCTGTTCTGTCTGTAAGCAAACTGGAGCGGGTCAACACTCACAGGGATCTGGCTCTTAATGAAGTCCAGCACAAGCCGCTCAAAAGTTTTCATAAGAACAGACGTGAGGGCCACAGGACGATAGTCATTCAGGCATGTCACAGGAGTTTTCTTAGGAACTGGAATGATGGTCGACTCTTTAAAGCAGTTCGGCACAGTACAGTTCCTTAGCGACAGGTTGAAAATGTCTGTTAGCACAGGGGCAAGTTGCTCAGAGCACAGTTTCAGGACACGAGGAGGGATGCCGTCCGTGCCTGGGGCTTTCCGGACTGTGGTTCTTGAGTCACGGTGAAGGTACCTTGATTGAAACACTCAGGGAATACAGTAGGACAGGCATCAGCGGATTCAAAGCGACAGTAGAACGTGTTCAGCTCGTTTGGCAGAGCTTGGCCGACAGATGCAATTTTCCCAGCGCTAGGTTTCCACGATGTGATGGCTTTAATACCGTTCCACATGCGCCGAGGGTCATCTTCCTCAAAATAACTCTTTAACCTGTCCCCGTAACTGCGCTTTGCAGATTTAATAGAACTTTTCAAAGAATAACAGGATAGCTTATAAGCAACTGTATCATTTGATTGAAACGCCAACGCACGCTCATGAAGTTTCAGTTTCACTTCAGCGTTCATCCAAGGGTTTTGACTAAAATGTTCTTTAATGACCTTCTGTGGGACACAACAGTCAATACAGAAGCGTATGTATCCAGACACAGCGTCACAGAATTCATTGACGTCCTCTGACTGAAACACAGACCAGTCCGTAGCATCAAAACAACCTTGTAGCTTCATGCTAGCCTCCTCAGACCAACACTGCACAGTGCGAGAGGTTGGTTTATGTTCCCTGCTCCTCTGAGTATACGAAGGAAGAAGGAGAACAGAGGAGTGGTCAGACTTTCCAAAAGGAGGTCTGAGACTGGACCTGTAAGCTCCCTTCACGTTACTGTAGCAGTGATCCAGAACATGTGCTCCTCTTGTAGCTTGAGTCACATGTTGATAAAAGTTCGGGAGTACAGTCTTTAAGTTACAGTTATTGAAATCCCCAGCAACAATGATGACTGCGTTAGGATGAGCAGACTCATGTTTGTGAAGGATCTCGCTCAGATCCTGTAGGGCTACTTTGTAATCCGCACGTGGGTGAATGTAAACAGCACATAAAATCCTCAGATATGTGGGTTCCAAGGAACTTGAAACTGTGAACCCTCTCCACCGCCGTTCCATTGATGTAGATGGGGTTGTGTTTTCCTTCACAACTCCTCTTGAAGTCCACTATAAGTTCTTTGGTTTTGCTGGTGTTGAGGTGCAGGTTGTTATCAGCATACCAGGTGGACAGATGCTGGATCTCCTCTCTGTAGGCCGTTTCATCATTGTTGTGGATGAGGCCTATCAGTGTGGTGTCGTCTGCAAACTTGATGATGGAATTAGTGAGGGACACTGGTTTGCAGTCGTGAGTGAAGAGGGAGTAGAGAAAGGGGCTTAAAACACAGCTCTGTGGGACTCCGGTGTTAATTTGGATCGTGGTGGAACTGCGGTTGTACAAACGAACGTGCTGAGGTCTGTTAGTGAGAAAGTCCATGATCCAGTTACACAGAGCTGGATTGATGCCGAGGTCATGTAGTTTGTTAATCAGCCTAGATGGAATGACGGTGTTAAATGCAGAGCTGAAATCAACAAACAGCATCCTGGCATATGTGTTGTTATTATCCAGATGTGTCAGAACTTTGTGAAGGGCCAGGGAGATGGCGTCCTCTGTGCTCCTGTTGTTGCAGTAGGCAAACTGGTGAGGGTCCAGGCCTGATGGAATAGAGGCTTTCAATCGTGCCAGGATAAGCCGCTCAAAGCACTTCATCACAAGTGGAGTTAGCGCTATGGGACGATAGTCATTGAGTGTACTTGGACTTTGATGTTTTGGCACTGGCACAATTGATGTTTTTAGGCATTTGGGAACAGTAGCTTGAGCAAGAGACAGATTGAAGATGTCCGTAAAGACTGGTGCAAGCTGCACAGCACATCGACCTGGGATGCCGTCTGGACCAGCAGCTTTGTGGCCATTGATGCGGCCTAACATGGAGTAGACCTCAGCCAGAGTGAGAGTAAGTGAGTGGTGGTCACGGGGGAGACTAATTATAGTAGCAGAGTCAACATTGTCCCTTTCAAACCGAGCATAGAACTCATTAAGCTTGTTCAGAAAGGAAGCGTCTGTAACAGTGGGACTACGTTTCTTAGCTTTGTAGTCACTGATGGCCTGTATGCCTTTCCACACACGCCGAGGGTCAGAGTTAGTAAGGTGCTCCTCAACTTTTGCACTGTTTCAGCGCTTAGCATTGATGATGCCCCTCCTCAGGTCAGACCTGGATGTACTATAGGCCTGTGCGTCGCCTGATGCAAAGGCACTGTCACGTGTCTTTAGTAGAAGACGCACCACCCTGTTCATCCATAGCTTCTGGTTGGGGTATGTGGTGATTTGCTTTTCAGATGTAACATTATTAACAGCACTGATTATATAGTCCATTACAGCAGCAGTATAAGTGTTCAGATCAGTGTTAGTAGCTCCAGTGCCAGGAGAGGCAAACCCACTCCAGTCAGTATGATGGAATCTATCCTGAAGTGTAGAATCTGCACCTTCTGGCCACACTTTGATGATTGTTGTTGAAGGTCTCACACGATTTATAAGCGGAGAATACCTGGGGGTGAGAAATAGTGATAAATAATCTGATTGACCCAGATGTGGAAGGGAGGCTGCAGAGTAAGCTCCAGCAATGTTCGTATAAACATGATCCAAAGTTTTGTTTCCCCTTGTGTGACAGGAAACGTGTTGGTAGAATTTTGGGAGCACTGTTTTCAAGTTAGAATGGTTGAAGTCACCAGCAACAATGAAAGCTGCCTCCGGATGAGAAGCTTGTTGTTTACTGATAGCAGCATATAGTTCTTTCATAGCAATCTTTGCGTTAGCATCCGGGGGGATATAAGCAGCAATTACAAAAGTAGCGGTGAACTCCCGTGGCAAATATAAAGGTCTGCATTTAACTATGAGATATTCCAGATCAGAAGTGCACTGACTCTCGACGGTAACAGTCTGTGCACCAAGCTTTGTTTATATAAATGCACAGCCCGCCGCCCCGGGTTTTGCCGGAGTCGGCTGCAGTCCTATCTGCCCGATGTAAGTCGCGGCATGCGAGTTCAATAGCAGAATCAGGAATTGCACAATGGAGCCATGATTCTGTGAAAATAGTGACATTGCAGTCCAATAGTCTCTTACTATGGGTGATGCGGAGTCGGATCTCATCCAATTTGTTCACCAGTGATCGTACGTTGGCCAGGAAGATGCTGGGTAAGGAGAGCCGATGTGGAGTTAGCCGTAGCTTATCCCTCAGTCCGCCCCGTTTCCCCCGTCTTTGTTTACGTTCTCGACGGGGTCGGCCAGGTGAGGAGCGTAGCCTCGGGTCTTCTGGAGACTCCGGGGATGAGTTGTAGAAGGTCTGGATCTATAAGTCCTGAGGGACGTGTAAACCATATCCAGAAGCTCCTGTCGGGTGTATGACGTTAAAGCGGAGGAATTCCGCGTAAACAGCCCCAAGATGAGCAGGAATAGTTGCAAGATTGCAAAACTAGAGTGACACTGGGCCTCGCGATGCGCTCGCGCCGCCATCTTGGTATCAAAGATGAAAGTGATCTCAGAACAACAATACTAATCGCCTATCTCAATAAATTCTGAGACAATTAATCGTCCAGCAAAATTTGAAATCGTGACAGGCCTAGCCACCGCCCCTTTTCCCTTCTCTTGTGGTAAAAGCAAAGCTAATTCTATTTGTGAGAATAGCCGATGCATCCGGACCCAGCCAGGTCTCAGTTAAGAACATACCATCCAGTTTTTTATCTGAAATTAAATAATTAATTATAAAAGTCTTATTTAAAAGAGAACGTACATCATTTAGAGCTAAGTTTATGGTTAAAAGAGGTGTTGGAGGTGTACCTTTTTGAGGCAGATTTATTTTGTGCAAGTCCAGAGTTCGAGGGGCCGTGGTGAGGAGCAGAGGATGTGGAGGGAGGAAGGGCAACATGAATGAGATTAGTGCAAACTGGTATCCTGAGAATGGGAGGTCTGTGGGGCGGGGTCGGGATATGGCTGGGATCTTGTGCTGGGAAGAGAAGGGGCTGGTGTTGAGGATTGATGTAGCAGGTAAGAAAGGAGATGTGGCGGTGGGTTGTCAAAAATATGTGGAGCGGGATTGAACTGCATGGATGATGTTAGAAGTGAGGTAGCGGTTGCCAAAGGGGGTGATATGAAGTCCATCTCGTTGGAAAAAGAGGGGGCGGTCCCAGAACAGATTAAAATTGTCTATAAAAGCAAAGTTGTGGTGAAGTGATGAATGGTTGAGCCAGGCATTGAGTGCTAAAATTCTGCTAAAACGCTCCCCACCACGGGCCAGTGGGCAGAGGGCCAGAGATTTGTGATTTCTGACTGGCGGAGTGATGTGTCGTTGGTACCAACATGAATGAACTGTGGCTCCGGGAAAGCACTGTGGCGTTCAAAAATCAACATCTGCGAATGATGGAGTCGAACACCAGCAGTGTTCGGGAAGGGAAGGAGGGGTCGTGTAGGGTGTGGTGTGACAGGGACTTGTGGAGGAGCTGGGGGAGAGCGGGGTACAGGGGGGCCCTGGAGTGTGCCCGGAGCTGACCCCCCTGTGAGCGACAGTGGGGCAGCAAGGAGAAGCCGGAGACGGGGCAACTATGGTGGCAGTGGTGGTGGTAGTAGAGGTGGTGGCGGGCGTGGGAGGGATAGGCACAGGGCTGGGGGAGTGCTCAACAGGCGGGACAGAATTCACATACACGGGGGGGCTCCGCGCTGCGTCAGAGCGTGAAGACCTCCCCGCGGGCACCTGGGCTTGAGCCGCACTGTCGGGACTCCCCGCCGCGTCATTGCGCACGGACCCTCCCACACCAGGGATAGCAGTGCTCAGCCTGTGCGGCGTCATCGCGTGGACATCCCCCCCAGGGCTTCCCCATTGCTCACCTGGGTAGGCACAGCACCCGGGACCCCCCTCAATGCGTAAGAGCGAGGGAAGCTCCCGGAGTGTCTGCGGGCCGCTTCTACCACTAACCTGCGGCAAGATGCCGATGTCGTTGCCCCGGGGTCTCCAGGCCTCTTATCTGTGCCGCTCTGAGAAGCGGGCCCCGGGCCTTCAGGCGGGGAAAGGGCGTTGGGAGGGTCAGACGTGCAGGAGCCAGGAGGAGCAGCCGCCACCGGGAAGCGTGAGGTAAGAAGCGTGTAGAGCAAGAGGACGGGTGGGGGCAGGAAATTGGGTTCCAGAGTGCAGTGTCATGAAGTGTGGATGCGTGCTGTGAGTGTCTGTGTGCGGATAGTGATATGTGTTGTGACTGTCTGAATGAAATGTCCATAAAATGTTCAAGCAGTTTTTCCCTGTGTCTGAGTTCCACTGAAAGTTTGGTGATGGTGAGTTGAAGCTCCTCGGGTGTCATTGTGTGTGGTGGTTTTGTTGGGAGCAGTGAAGTAAGTGATTTGTAGTTCTATTTCATCCTTCCTGACCGCCAGAGGCGGTGCTTAAGCACTGGATGATCATCCTCGCGCATGCACAGATCGAGAGTCAAATAACAACAAAGTCACCCGTGACCTCCGGTAGCTCACGCGAGAGTCTATAAAGCCACGTGACACCGGAAGCACAGTCCCTTTTCACTTTCTCGCATGCAGGTTGTATGAGTCTGGCTGAAGCTAACTGATAGCTGTTTGTGCCTGTTGTTCGCGCCGCTTGCTGCCTGTAGCCCCGTGACTGCTCGTCGGTCGGTGCTGCGAGTTTCTCGCCCTCCGTGGGCTGCGCAAGCCGCGCTGCTTGCCTCTGGTGAGTGTTTGTTTTGCTTATTCGCCGTGACTTGTGCTCGGTTGTTTTTCGTTACTTCTTATAATTGGGGGGTTACTAGTGGCGTTTCTGCTCGACCCGACCCTGTTATCTGGCTGTTTACCTGCGCGTATTCAGCGTGTGTTTGGTGGGTTACCAGTGGCGTTCTGCTCGACCTGACCCTGTGTCTTGTTAATTACCTTGTTAATTATTTGTTAATTTCTGTCGGTCACTGGTGGCGTGTCTGCTCGACCTGACCCTGTTGAATTGGCTGTTGCCTGCGCGTGTTCCACGTGTTTCTGCGGGTTGTAAGTGGCGTCTCTGCTCGCACTACCCTACTATATTGGTTGTTCCCTGCACGCGTACGGCGTTCGGTGGGTCACTAGTGGCGTCTCTGCTCGACCTGACCCTGCTGTATTGGTTGTTCCCGGCACGTGTACGGCGTTCGGTGGGTCACTAGTGGCGTCTCTGCTCGACCTGACCCTGCTGTATTGGTTGTTCCCTGAACCTGTGAGGCGTTCGGTGGGTCACTAGTGGCGTCTCTGCTCGACCTGACCCTACCGGGAGTGCCCCTGTACTTGGCGGCGACTGCTCCTGCGCGTTAGCTCGCTGGGATGCTTGAGCCGTTGGCCTGCCAGTCCTGTCTGGCCCCGATGCAGCAGGACGATGGCCATGTGCTGTGTCCCTCCTGTCTGGGTGTGGGCCACCTGCGGGAGGCGCTAACCGAGCGTGCATGTCCCGATTGTGCGGTAATGCCCTGGCCGGTGCGCGTGGCCCGCCTGTCGGCCCTGGACGGACATTTCAGTGGCGATTCTGGGGACTGTGAGTCTGCCCTGTTGGTTGACCGACCCCCTGGTCGCAAACGTGAGGGCGCCCGGGGTGATGACCCTCCGCGGAAGAAGTCGAAGTCCTCTGGTCGCGGGGTTCTGACTTCGAAGGTCGATTCGCTTTCTGTGGAGTTGGCTCAGTTGCGGACCCTCCTTCATGACCTTCAGGCTGGTACTGGCCAGTCGGTGGCCCGACCGGTCTCGGTCCCTTTGTCGGTGTGCGATGAGGATGATGCTCTCTCGGTGGCGGCATCTGACACACATTTTCGGCCGGGCTCTGATGTTCTGAGCTCCAGGGTCTCGGAGTCTGGTTCGGTGGGTTCTGTCGGGTCTCTGTCGGTTTCCGATGAGCCCGTGACTGCTGCGATCCGAACGGCTCTGGCGCATTTGAAGCTGGATGTGCCTCAGTGCGATGCGGGGCCCTCGAGTGCCTTCTTTCGCCGCCAGTCTGCGTCCTCGGGGTTCTCTGTTCCTCCTTCGGCGGAATATGTCAAGGAGCTACATGCCTGTTGGACTGACACGAGGGTTTTTTCTAGGCCCAATTCGGACGGTCGGGCCCTGGCTTCTATGCAGGCGCCTGACAAAGTTGGCCTGGGGCATATGCCGGCGGTGGAGCCTGCCATTGCCTCCTTGATTGTACACCCTGAAGAGGCTCTGCGCACTAATGCCCGGTGCCCTCGGCCGCAGTGTCGGGCCACAGATGACCTGCTCTGCAAGGCCTATGACATGGGGGCCCGCATGGGTCTCATCTGCTGTTGGGGCTGTCCGCTTCTCTGGAGGCTGTCACATTGGACCAGTCCACGCAGGGGATGGTGGATGCTTCCTTGCAGGCTTTTGCCTTCATGTCTAGGGAACTGGGGCGTCTCCTCTCTACGCTGGTTCAGACTCGCCGCCAGGTGTGGTTGGCGCAGTCCCCTCTCTCCGAGGCCAGCCGCAGAGTGTTGAGGAGCGTTCCTGTGCTCCCTGGAGAGCTGTTTGGCTCGGCTGCCATTGCGGCTCTGGAGCGCACGGTCCAGGCCACTCAGACCCGGCAGCAGTTGGTGGGACTGCACAGGCATCCCCCGCGTGCGTCCGCTTCTGCTGCCCCTGTGCGCGGGCGGGTGGCCCCGCCCCGGAGTTTTTCTGTGCCCCGGACGGTGGATGGGCGGAACTTTCCCCCGGCTCAGGCTCCACTGCGTCCCAGTCGTCGCCCCCCCAGGCCCGCTAAAGGCCGGGGTGCCCTCCGGTGAGGCGCCGGGGCCGGTGGTGGGACGGTTTACCCCGGGACAACTTGGTTACTGGAGGGCCCAATCCCCCGATGCATGGGTTGTGGCCACTTTGTCCGTGGGGTATCGTCTCCAGTTCCGCCGCCGGCCTCCTGTTCCCGGCCGGGTCCTTGTGACTGTCATCCAGGACCCGGTCAGGGCGCAGGCACTTGTCCGGGAGATTCGTACTCTACTGGACAAGGGTGCCATCGTGCCTGTCGACCCCCTGCTGGATCCAGGGGGCTTTTATTCCCGTTATTTTCTTGTACCGAAAAAGACCGGCGACTTGCGACCGGTCTTGGACCTGAGGCGTCTGAATGTTTTCTTGAAGGTCCTCCCTTTCAAGATGTTGCGTGTCCGGCAGGTCCTCCAGGCGGTGTCCCCTGGGGACTGGTTCACGTCGATAGACCTGAAGGACGCCTACTTTCACGTCCCGATTGCTCCTCAGCATTGCCGGTTCCTGCGTTTTGCCTTTCAGGGGAGGCACTTCCAGTTCAGGGTGCTTCCCTTCGGCCTCTCGCTCTCTCCTCGGGTCTTTACGAGATGCGTGGCGGCGGCTCTTTCCCCGTTGCAGGCCAGGGGGTTGAGGATCCTGCCCTATCTGGACGATTGGCTGATCTGTGCCCCCACTCGCGAGCAGTCTCTGCGGGATACGCAGGCTGTGATAGAGCACGTGACCAGGTTGGGTCTGCGAGTGAACCTGGCAAAGAGCAATGTGGTGCCGTCTCAGCAGGCTTTGTTCCTGGGCATGGCTCTGGATTCCCTGTCTATGTCCGCCCGCCCCTCGCCTCGACGTGTCGGGGACATTCGGGCGTTGCTCCCGGGCTTCCGTCGAGGACGGTCGCTCCCTTACCTGGCGTTCCTCAGGCTCCTGGGCATGCTGATTGCAGCCTCGTCTGTGGTCCCCCTGGGTCTTTTGTCCTTGCGCCCGCTGCAGATGTGGCTCAATGGCCTGGGGCTGGACCCGGCCAATCCTGTTCACAGACGTCGGCGGTTACTGGTGTCTCCTCGGTGTATGGAGTCACTGTCCCGGTGGCGCGACGAGGCGTTTGTGCTACGGGCGTCGCGCTGGGTCCCCTGCCGTCCCGCCGGGAGGTGGTGCATACGGACGCGTCCCTGACAGGGTGGGGCGCAACGTGGCAGGGGCGTGCGGTTCAGGGCGTCTGGCCGGTGCGGCAGAGGGGGCTCCATATCAACGTCCTGGAGCTCCTGGCCGTTCAGCTTGCGCTGCGCCATTTCCTGCCGGTCTTGCGGGGGCGGCATGTGTTGGTGCGGTCGGACAACACCAGTGTGGTCTATTTCATCAACCACCAGGGGGGAACTCGGTCGGAGTGCTTGCTGGCAGTGGCACGAGGGCTGTTGACTTGCGGGTTTGACCGCGATGCACATCCCAGGGACTCTGAATGTGTCGGTGGATTTCCTGTCGCGCCACGTTTCGCTGCCGGGCGAGTGGCGGCTACACCCGGAGGTAGTGGTCTCCATTTGGGGGTTGTTCGGCCGGGCGAGGGTGGATCTCTTTGCCTCTCAGGGAACGACTCATTGCCCGCTGTGGTTCTCCCTGTTGGAGTCCACCGGTCCCCTGGGTCAAGACGCGCTGGCTCACGACTGGCCCAGGGTTCTGCTGTACGCGTTCCCGCCGTTCCCTCTGATCCATCAGACGCTGCTCCGGGTCCTTCAGGAGGGCCACAGGATGATACTGGTGGCCCCGTATTGGCCGGGGAGGACATGGTTTCCCTTGCTGCTCAGGCTCTGCTGCGGCTTGGCGAGACCCCTTCCCTCCAGGCGGGATCTCCTGTCTCAACTGGGGGGCCGGCTTCTCCATCCGGACCCCGGCCGCCTGCGGCTTTGGGTGTGGCACCTCCGGGGACCGGTTTAGCGTTTACAGCCTATACTGGGGAGGTTGGCCGCACCATGTGCAATGCCCGGGCTCTGTCCACACGCCGGCTGTATTCCTGTAAGTGGAACGTGTTCGACGGGTGGTGTCGTGGCAGGGGACTCGACCCGCGTCTCTGCTCGGTGACGTCCATACTGACCTTCCTTCAAGAACTGCTCAGTAAAGGCCGTTCTCCGTCCACCCTGAAGGTATACGTTGCTGCGATTTCGTGTGGGCACGCTGGGTTTGGTGGGACTAGTGTCGGTCGTGTTACTGACGTTTCACTGTTTTTGAAAGGTGCCCGCCGGTTGCACCCGCCCTGTCGTCCTGTGGTGCCGGCTTGGGACCTCTCGGTTGTCCTTGATGCCCTGCGTTCCCCGCCATTTGAGCCTTTGGGGGAGATTGCCCTCAAGTGGCTGTCTATGAAGACAGCGTTTCTCCTGGCTATGGCCTCCGGACGGCGGGTGAGTGAACTCCATGCTCTGTCGGTGACCGAGGCCTGTTGTCGTTGGCATCCTGACGGCTCGGGGTGTGTCTATGTGGCCGGATGTGTCCTTTGTCCCGAAGGTGTCTTCTGGTCGGTATGACGGGCCCCTTCAGTTGGCCCGTTTTGGTTCTGGTGAGCCCCCTGACCCTCTGTGCCCTGTTCGTGCACTGGAGGTGTACATTCGCTCCACGGCCTCGATAAGGCGTTCAGACGCCCTGTTTGTCTGCTGCGCCGGCCCTCGCGTTGGTCGGGCTCTGTCCAAGCAGCGTCTCTCCCACTGGGTCGTGGGGGTTGTGACAGAGGCCTATGCCTTGCGGGGGCTGCCGTTACCGCCTGGGGTGAGGTGCCATTCTATGAGGGGCATGTCAACTTCGTGGGCTGCTGTGAGTGGTGTGTCGTTGGACGTCATCTGTGCGGCGGCGTCATGGTCGTCCCCAAGCACCTTCGCCAGGTTTTATCGGGTTAATGTTGCCGCCCCCGCACCCCCTGCAGGGGGTTCTGCGGCGCCGCTCATCCGTTTCACAGTAAGGTGAGGTTCTGGTTGGTTTCCTCGTGACCTTGCTGATATTCGTCATCCAGTGCTTAAGCACCGCCTCTGGCGGTCAGGAAGGATGAAATAGAACGAGAGTTACGACTGTAACTACGGTTCTATGAATCCTGGATGACCGCCAGAGCGCCCGGTCCCTCGGAATCCTTGTGCAAGAAAGGTTCTAGGGACTGTGCTTCCGGTGTCACGTGGCTTTATAGACTCTCGCGTGAGCTACCGGAGGTCACGGGTGACTTTGTTGTTATTTGACTCTCGATCTGTGCATGCGCGAGGATGATCATCCAGTGCTTAAGCACCGCCTCTGGCGGTCATCCAGGATTCATAGAACCGTAGTTACAGTCGTAACTCTCGATTTCCTTGTATAAGTTTGGCGGGGGCGGTGCTGTGTCCATGGTAGCAGTTCACGCTAGTCGCTGTTAAAAGTCCAATATGTAGTCCAGATTGAAATTACAGCAGTCCTGAATGCGAGCAACTGTTAAAATCCACTCAATCCATAGATAGCGCTTGATAAAACTAGAATAACAAGCTTGGTTTACAAAATAATTACAAAATTAATAGCTGACTGAGGACTGAGTTTTCATAATACTTTCAAGCAACTTTTGTTAAACTCATCACTCTATCAATGTGCAGAAGCCTGTACTTTTCCATTTGATGTTTTGTCTATCTGAAGGCCAAGCTACAAGCACACCGTGGCAGATGCTGATTTGAGGACTTCATTCTCCCATGCTATATTATCACTAAAGTAAAGTACAAGTACTTTTTTTATATTGAAACATTGGTATTAAAATGTCTTTATAATTATAAATATATCGAGTATCCGGGCAACTCCAGTTTAACGTCTTAGCATTTCGTCCCACAGAACGCTTGTTATGCGTTATTATAGTTATATGGTATATAATCCAGATGGGTTAATCACTTTTGGGCGGATTACCATCACTGGCCAGTGGCCTGTAGAATGTTATTATAATACATCCATGTGTAGAATGCACACATTGGAGACTCCGCACCATGTTCCGATCAGGTAAAGTTTCACTTCCGGGTAATCGAGTGACCGAAATGTATAAAATACATAATAAAAAAGGTTAATTATTGCATTTTCTAGTTCCAAAAACCAGTCATAATATATCATAATATACCTGTCTTATAAGGAATGAAAAAAACCAAAATGGTCATTTTTGTATATTGCCGTGTGCCTGAAAGTGCAAAATAAAATAATAAATAAATAAATTTCCCTTCAAAAATAGAAAATGAATTGAACGCGAAAGTACACGGACCGACAAGCTATTATTATAGATAGTATATATCATTAAAGATAATACAATCTATGTACTATATACTATCCATAATATAATATTATAGATATTATATAGTACATAGATATTATTATAGAGCCATGTGTACAAGTCATACCTGCAACCGCTGTCTTCTCTTGTTTTATGGATGCGTAACCTCTGTTGTCCCGTACCCCAGCAGACCCTTGTATTGTCCGTAACTGTAGATCTAAACTCTGTCTCCAGACCAAAACAAACGCGGACCTGATCTGAACCGGAAAACATGTTAGCCCTGTTACTTCCGCATATCGATATGACAAAATAAAACTAAAGCTTTATATTTGTAATTACAGAATGGTAGACGTGGGTCCGTTGTGACACCGTTTACGCACGTATTTCTATTGCTTTGTTTGATTTAACTTTTATTTATTTTGTGCCGTGAATTGAACAAGTTTAGATGAGAGCGTACAGCCAGCAGAGGGCACCAATGTTCATTCTCCGCTCAGGATTTTGTTTTTCTATTTAGAGCCCGTGCCAGTGTGGTCCGGAGCTCACTTGCGAGCGAGGGTGATCCCATGATATAATGCAGTCTATGCCCATGCATTACGATAGCTGTTGGTAAAGCAGCTGTCGGGAAAAACCGCGCCACAATGAAAGAAAACAACATGAAACACCCGCGCACAAGTTTGTCAGGTGTAACCATGGATGTATTATATTAACTGGATAGGGTATCACTAGCTTGTAGCTGAATAACTCACGTGCTCAGGGGATTCTCGCGGTACTGCAGACTGAACGAGACTAAATTCACGTGGGCTACCCAGAAATTTTCCCCATAGAACTCAATGCATATTAAAACAGCTCAACCTCAGCTGACAGAGAACCTACAGCTTTCATAAAGGTCGGATTTTGTGGAGATTTCAGTGTCCCTTGTCATCCTGAACTTTTTTTCTTCTTAAATCCTTCGGTTTTGTTTAAATCCACACTTTAGTGCCACAAACTCTGCTCCTCTGGCTCTCGCTCTAACTCCCGCTCTGATGAACTGCTCTGATTGGTCAGAGCGCGGCGGAGCCCCACTGTGCAGTGCGTGAGACCTGGGCTGAATCCGAATGTCCACACTATACCCTATATAGTGCACTATATAGTGGTCACGCCATTTTGTAGGGGTGTCCAAATGTCCAGAGAGAAAAAGTAGTGCACTGGAATTGTCCCACAATGCATCTCGAAAATGTAGTGAGCAGCGATGGTCACTAGACGGAAGTAAAATGGCGGAGGCAGCAAGAGACGTGTTGGAACAGGAGCGGGACATGAGCTATAAATGTGAGTTTATAATCATCATAAATATGGAAATGTGTAAACCGTGATGTGTTTTTGACGATAAGCTGCCAAAATACACATTTGAAGTCAGAATACCATCGCCGTTTAATGCGAAACAACGTACCAATGTTATGCCGCAAAAAATGTTAGCATTTTTGCGTATCATGACGCTAACATCTCAAGCTAACGCTACAGAAACGGGTCACTGGTGGTCAGTCATTAATGTTATTAAAGCACTTGTGTTATACGTGTAGCATTTATTGTGTTAAATGTTTTTCTAAAGGGACAGACACTGATGTGGAGAGACTCATCCGACTACGGATGAAAAACGGCGGCCTGTTCTCAGGCCGCCGTTTTGCATCGGCGGCTGGATGGGAGTACGACCATTATGAATGAATACTTATTCAAAAAACGTCTACTCGTATTCAAATGCTTTTATGTATCGTTACTTTAGGGCAGTGATAAAGGAAATGGGGCTGAGCCGCCTGATCAGCCCTGCCAGAGCGGCCAAGAAGTGGGAGAATTTGAAAAAGACCTACAAGGTTTGTTTCTTTGAAGCTTTGTGTGTAATTTGTGAAGCATATATTATATAAAACTCACTGTTTTAAGGAGCTCAGACAGCCACGGACAGGGACAGAAGGAGGGGAGCCTACCGCCATATCCTGGAAGTGGTACTCCCTCATGGATGAGGCAATAGGCAGCAGGCCATCTGTGCAGCCTCCCTGCCTGATTGCCTCATCCATGGGGGATGCTGCTTCCACATCTGTGGAACAACCCCCTCCCCCCGTACAGCCAGACGAGATAGAGGAAGAGGAAGAGGAAAGAGTGGCAGCCAAGAGGCCGAGAAGGGAGAGTTTGTTGAGTTTTTTTGGAGAAGGTGGAGAAGAAGGAAGAGGAAAGGGAGAAGCGAGAAGAGGAGAGGGGAAGAAGAGAGGAAGAGAGAGAGGAGAGACTGTTGAGTTTGTTGGAGAGAATAGTGGAGAAATTATAAATAAAAATGTATTTTGATAAGTGTAGTTTGAACTATATGCATATCGACATACAATGATGAACACTATTTACACACAAAAAATTTAATCAACTAGACATTTGTAAAGAACTATACATACATTCAACAAGATATTTACATATTCAATTGTGTTTGTTTTTATTTAAATAGGCCAAAACACAGATTATTCAAACATTTAATTAATAGTCGTGGTCCCGAAGAGCTGGTAGCCTGGCCCTTGGGGTGGAAAGTGCTGCTGCCATCCGTCCACGCAGCTCCTGTCCACACAGCTCCTGTCCACACAGCTCCTGTCCACACAGCTCCTGTCCACACAGCTCCTGTCCACACAGCTCCTGTCCACACAGCTCCTGTCCACGCAGCTCCTGTCCACGCAGCTCCTGTCCACACAGCTCCTGTCCACACAGCTCCTGTCCACACAGCTCCTGTCCACACTGCTGATCAGGCTGGTGCTGCTGATGCTGGTCCTGCTCATCATCAGCTCCTGTCCACACAGCTCCTGTCCACGCAGCTCCTGTCCACACTGCTGATCAGGCTGGTGCTGCTGATGCTGGTCCTGCTCATCATCAGGCCCTGGCTCCTCTTCCACTGGCTCCCAGAGATCACCATCGCTGACGCAGATGTTGTGCAGGATGGCGCAACAGGCAGTCACCTCGACTGCAAAGGTGGGTTGGACTTCCAGTGCCTTAAAAAAAATGGATCGCCATCTTGCCTTCATCATGCCAAACGCTCTCTATTACAGATCGTGCCCGTGCATGGTGCCGGTTGAAGCGGGCTTCCACTGGGCTCCGAACAGGCTCTCTGTATGGAGTGAGGAGTGTGATGGGCTGACGGAGGCAAGGCTAGCCACCATCCCCAAGGAGGACGTGTCCATTTGGGGGATAGAGCCGGTGGACGTAGAGGGGGCTGTTTTTAAGCACTCGAGAATCGTGTACAGATCCGGGGTAGCCAACAAACAAATCAATAAATAAGCCACGGTGATTACACACAGCCTGCATTTGAATGGAATAAAACAATTTCCTGTTAAAATAACACTGTGCATTTTCTTGAAGGAGCTTTATTCTAATGTGGCAGCCGTCGATGCTCCCCACAACATTATTGAGAGCAGCTGATCCAGCCAGCAACTGAAACCCAGCTGCAACTTGGGGAAGTTCCTCCAGGGAAGGGAAATGAATTATTTGGCCACGCATTTGAAGGATCTGGTTGGCCACCCTGTGGATCACATCGTGGACTGTGGACTGGGGCATGTCAAATGCCCTGGCGACAACACGGTATGCGGTGCCACTGGCCAACCAAAAGAGGAAGACCAAAACCTCCATGTCCTGGCTCCAGCCCTGGTGATGAGCACTCCTCAGGTGGCTAACCAGACGGGTGATGGTGGTTCGAGTGAGGCGAAAATCGGGGCGAAGGTCAGACTGGCCATTTAAGTACATGCTGAGTAGGGGTACATGGTGGTTCAGTCGGCAGTACACTGGTGGTTCACCCTAAAACAAAACAAAAATTCTCTTAAACTTAATATGATACTTCTAGATTCATTTTTTAATTCTGTATCTGCACTTTTAGTTATGAGTGCAGACACAGGAATAAGTACTCATTTTTCATTTTGAGATTTAAAAATGTAAATAAAAATGAAGAGTATATAGCTGAAGTCATGTTCTTTTGTGCCCTGGCATTGATTTTGCCAAATGTATTGTGTGTTGCAGGGAGCTGGAGCTGCCCTGAGACAACTGAAGTAGAAACCCTCACTACATCACTCGCACCTAATAACACACAAAAAAATCACAGAAGCCCTGTGCCCCATGGCCAAGCAAATTCTATTATTGTTTAATGATTAAGTACTCATTTTTCATTTAGAAAAAATGAGTACTTAATCCATTTTCCTTGCTATGGTTTTGTGTTCTTTCAACCAATAAAATATTTGAATGTTCTTGCATTTTAAGTGAGTGTGTCTATACAATGTGTTTTCTTGTTGAAATATGTCTAAATGTATATGACTAATGTGTTTCTCATTGACTGAGAATAGTATTTTGAATTAGTAAGTACACCAAAAGTACTATAATTTACCCAGTAGATGGTGCTAATGCTATATAGACAAAGGACGAATACAATACTTACACAACGCCTTGCTAATGAACGAAGAGCCATTCTCCTCCTCGCCCTCATCGCCTGTCTTCGCCTTCTCTCTGTTCGGCGGTTTTTAATTCGCATTATGATAACTTGTATAATAGTTATGAAAAACACCGCAAAATTCAGTGGAGGTGCCATTTCACCGGTGTTAGAGGAGCACCTCCTGCTTAAAACCCAATCCCGGTCAGGTGGCGGGAATATGAAAGACGTCAACCAAAATTCATAAATATGAATATAAATTGTAAAAACATTTTATACATGTATATTAGACAAATATTGATATTTTAATATACTTTTATTTATATATAAAATTATATTGATCCAATGACATGTGACGGGTGTGATGTGGGCCGCGGCTAAAAATAGTGTGCAGCTGTCCGAATCGCCAACAGAATGAGTGCAATGACTCACTCACTCAGTCGCTATATAGTCCCGAACTATATAGTGAGTGAGTGAATAGGGTATAGTGTGGACATTCGGATACAGCCCTGCTCTCCACTCCCTGTGGGCAGGCTCCGAGTGGTGAGTGGTGACACAGCCTCTCCAGTTTTCTAACGTTCTGTTTTAAAGTATGCAGTTGGATATTGCATTTAATGCAGATTTGAAAGACTCCATAGTGTTGTCCACAGTTTGGTCAATGACCGAGGGACTGCAGCAGCTGTGAGCAGGTTCACCTGCAGCGGTGTTCAACATTGGCTGTACTAGTTCTTTGAACCTTGTCATAGATTTATCATTTAAAGGACAACCCACCCTCAAATCCTTTTTTGTGTGCTGATAAACGATATAAATGAGTGTCCAATAGTGTTGTGTACATATCCTGGTCATAATTTTGCCACTTTAGTGCAAATTAGTTGAAAGATCCACTTTCTGCCTAAAACCGTCAGTGAGGCGCCATCTGCAGGCGACTTGTGTTTACTACATTTGAATTTTGAATCTGGCTCCACCATAGGCGCAGCTGTGATGGCTGACGTCGAGAAGGGTCTGTCTGCAGCCTGCAAGACAGAGGCGTGTAGTGTAGTAGGCGTGTCTTGTAATGACGTCACTACAAGACACGCCTACTACATGAATGAGGTTAAAGCACTTGGAATTCTGGAAGTATATCCATTGAAAAGACATGGCAGACCGTACGCAAACAGTAAGTGACAACCAACAACGTGTTTTATTTATTTTTAGGCCGTTACAGAAGATATGTATAAATGCACATCACCCTGATGAGAAATGTTTTTTAAGAAGTGAACTAATACATTGCAGAGAAAGTAATTCATATGGGTTTCTTCTGAGAGTCCATGTGCCATTAACATGTCGATTGGCACATAGCATATTTGCCCAAGTCATTTTGCATCGTTTAAATGGCAATAAGAGGAAAAACATAACTTTACACATTAAAGTTTTAATTAGTTAGGCAATTATACAATGTAGCTCACAATGTTTCCTATCACAGTTACAGAAGTCACCGACCATAGTTATTGGATGATGTAACAAGACATTTGTGTTTCTGAGTGTGCACAAATTTATGTTTATGTCTGCTTTGAGTTACATCCTACGATTGTTAGTGATGGAAATCAAGCTCCAGTGCTGTAGCAGGGGAACACGCTCACGTGTGTAACTTACCCTAACCCATTGCAAGAGGCAATTGGAAAATTCAAAAAGGGGCCAAAGTATGAACCATGGTAAGATTATTTTAAATATTGATGGACATATTTCAATGTGCACTGCAACATCTAATCTGCGATTGTTCTTTTTGGACAGTGAATTTAAAATGATTGCGAATGCCCTGGTGAGACATTTACCAGAGGCGGCGGCAGTGAGGCTCAAATAATTTGAAGAGATATGGAGATTACCGGCTGGTGTCCTGGTGCAGTGGTAACAACCTGGAGCTGAACGCCCAGAAGACAGTGGAGATGATTGTGGACTTCAGGAAGAGCACTGTCCCCCCGCCCCCACCCTCCGTGATGGACTCCCCCATCACCTCTGTGGAGTCCTATCGTTTCCTGGGCACCACCATCACCCAGGACCTCAAGTGGGAGCCGACCATCAACTCCCTCATCAAGAACGCCCAGCAGAGCTCAGGAAAGCCAAGCTGCCTGCACAGATGTTGGTGCAGTTCTACACGGCCATCATCGAGTCCATCCTCACCTCCTCCATCACCGTGTGGTTCGCTAGAGCCACAGTCAGGGACAAACAGAGACTACAGCGCATTGTGCGCTCTGCAGAGGAAGTGATCGGCCGCAGCCTTCCATCGCTGCAGGACCTGTACGTCGCCCGTGCTCGAGTCCGGGCTGGTCATATCACAGCCGACCCCTCTCACCCTGCACAGGGACTATTCCAACCACTCCCCTCAGGCAGGAGACTGCGGTCCATCAGGACTAGAACCTACCGCCACAAGAACAGTTTCTTCCCCTCTGCTGTTGGACTCTTGAACACTTCTTAACCTGTCCCCCCGCCCTTTATAAAGTCACTTTACTGCCCATCATACGTCACTTTACTTCACTGTACTGCTGTCACCTTACATTGTGTGCACCATGTGCACTTGTATATTGTAAATAGTAACTGTAACTTTATTTTAAATTTTAAATTATTTCTTAGTTTTTTTAATTCTTTATTTTTTATTATCTCTCTCTGACTGTTGCACTGAGCCAAAGCAATTTCCAAGTCTGTGACTTCCTGTTACTTACGTGGCAATAAAAATTATTCTGATTCTGATTCTGAGATTAGCGCTCTCCACTGAAGCCTTTCAATTAAGATAATAATAATATAAAAAAATTGTTGCAATATTTGTTTTGTGTAGAACTTATTCAGTGTCTACATTTCAGAGCCATTCACATAACACATATTCATAAAAAAGCATGTACATAAAATGCCAGATAACAACTTATTGTTCTTTATCTCCCTCTCCCACATACATATTTGACAAAACACAATAATAATGAATGTCTGCTTGTCCCAAAATGCAAAAGCAGGGAGCTGGGCACAAATGTTATGGCATGTTCTCTTTGTGATCAGTAATGTGAGACCGTGGGCGTAGGAGTGTGTGGTGGTGGTGTAATAATAGCTTTAATTTGTAAAGTTTCTCAAAACGCCACAATGTAGGCTTAATTCATTTAGTCCACACAGTGTGCCACAGCTGGGTTGGAGTAATGGATGCCGGGCTGCAAATCTGTGCTATTGGCCACCACCAACCAGTCTCTCACTATGTCAAGGCAAGGCAAGTTTATTTATATAGCACAATTCATACACAAGGCAATTCAAAGTGCTGAACAAAACAAGAAAGCATTAAAATCATAAATAATCACAGAACATTAAAAAGAAGGATAAAAATATAAAATCCCTCAGTTGTATGCACAGCTAAACAGAACTGTCTTTAAACTGGTTTTAAACATTGTCATTAAGGAGGCCTGTCTCA